GCAGGAGTTAACGCTGTGAGTGCAGATTTTATTCAGGAACTATTGCAATAGGCGAAAGAGACCTCAGTATAGAACCAGGCTCAATTCTAAATACAGCATGGACAAGTGGCCATTTACAGTCACAAAGCAGGGTAGGGTCAGTGGTTGGAAAAGTACTGAGAGGAAACGTCAGAAGTAAGGGGGGATTGTGGCTAAACCAACTTGACAGGATTCTTGCTGAAGGCGGGCCAGGGTGATCAGACATCACCTGGGGGATGGTGGGGATAAGGAATTTGACCAGATATTCAGGATGAACGTCCTTTGTAATCTGACTTAACAGGATTCTTGCTACCCCTGACTGATGCAGACCGACAGAAACCAAGGGTGTCCACTGATTGTGGAGGGCTAGAGGGCTAAGAGAAGTCTGACTAGAGTTAGGTGGAGAGAGTATTTGTCAACAGTCATAACAGATCTTCCCTCCAAGGGTTTCTCAGGCGATTAAATGATTATATAATACCCTTAGCACAGAGGTGGGCTGAGAGTAAATCCTCAATAAATGGCAGCTGTTATTACTTTTCTTTCATGGGCCTTGTTATGACTGTAATCATGTAATTCTTCACATGATTGTTGGTGAAAGTCTTTCTCTCATGGGAGACTTCAAAATCTGAAAGGACAGAGGTTTCTTCATCCACCACTGTATCTTCAGCGCCTGACAGTGTGCTGGTACTCAGTGGGTGTTCAGTGAAACATTGTTGAATAAATGAAGGATTTAATGATGTCATCATATTTGGTTTTTAAAAAATATATGTGAAAACACTAATTTTGCATGGGACCAAATGGATGATAGAAAAAGACTGACGATAAATTTATTTCATAGTGTTTTTATTTCCATTCACAAAATTTCCAGATGTGCTTAGTAAAATTATTGCCAGTTTGTGAATGAGAATCTGAATGAGTAATTTATTTGAAGATCATACATGGAACTAATTATATAAGAGTCACTAAGTTTGCCAAACTTTTCAGTTGCTTTTAATTTAGTCACTCTTTGACAAACTTTGTAACACATGTTTTCAAATCAGAGTTTTGTTTATTTATCTCAAGCCGTATGTAAAGTCCCACTTAGAAAGATTTTTAGGTTCTAGATACAAAAAGGTTTTAATTAGAACAAGATCATATGTTCAAGGTTAATGACTTACTTTTGTTTATTATTTATTTAGAGAGGGTCTTCCTCTGTCACGCAGGCTGGAGTGCAGTGGCACAATCATAGCTCACTGTAGTCTCATATTCCTGGGCTCAAATGATCCTCCTGCCTCAGCCTCCCAAGTAGTGGAGCTATAGGTTGTGCCACCACACCAGGCTCAATATTTTTTGTGGAGACATGGTCTTGCAATGTTGCCCAGGCTGGCCTCAAACTCCTGGCCTCAAGTGATCTTCCCACCTCAGCCTTCCAAAGTGCCGACATTACAGGCATGAGCCACCACACATGGCCTAAGGTTAATGATGTTTACAAAGCCTAATTTCTTTTGTTAAAGAGAACTAGAAAGTGACAGTAGTTCAAGTAGTGTCTTTGTTCAGGCTGCTATAACAAAATACCACAAACTGGATAGTTTATAAACAATGGAAAGGTATTTCTTAGAGTTGTGAAGGATGAAAGTTGTTATTGTGGTGTCGGTGTAATTCAGTGTCTGGTTGGGTCCTCACTTACTGGTTTGTGAACAATCATCTTTTTGCTCTGTCCCCACGTGGCAGAAAAATCATGTCTTTTGTAGGTACACAAATCCCATTCATGAAGGCTCCTGCTCGAGCTAATCGCCTGCCGAAGGCTCCACCTCCCAACATTGTGGCAGGATTTGAACATAAGGATTTTGTAATTCCCACATTGCGGATTAGGATTTGAACATATGAATTTTGAGAAGACACAAACATTCAGACCATAGCAAGTGATGAAACAGATTGTATTCAGGAGCTATTGCAATAGAGGACAAGAGACCTCAGTACAGAGCCAGGTTCAATTCTAAGCACAGCTTGGATCAGCGGAGATTTATAGCAAAGAGCAGGGTGGGGTCAGTGGATAGAAAATTGCTAAGAGGAAACATAAGGGGTAAGGGGAGATTCTGGCTAAACAGACTTGATAGAATTCTTGCTGAAAACGGGCCAAGGTGATTGACATCACTTGCGGGATGGTGGGGATGAGGAAGTGGATTAGATATGGGAAGTGATCAGATATCAAGGGTGGGGATTCTCTCTAAATTGACTTAACAGGATTTTTTAAACTGGGATATGCAGGTTTGGCAAGGATGGGGCCTTGTCGAGAAGATAATTTAGAGGAGCTCAACTAAAGTTTGGTCAAGATGAGAGTTTCCATCACTAACAAACCTTTTATTTTTCCACTGTTATTTTTCAGAAGATATTAACCCAAAGTTAGAAATTGCTGGAATGGTGTAGGGAAAGAAAAATACTTTTTTCTTCAACCCTTATAGGTTTTTAGTTGGAATGGACCCCTGTAACAAAAGACAGGTTAGGAAGAAAAAAGCAGAAGTTTATTTACGTGCATATTTCACATCTACATGGGAGAAACCCAGGGAGTGAGTACTTCTCAAAGAGGTGGCTTTGAATTCCAGCTCCTTCAGCATCTTCACCAAAACACAGTAAATTTTGAGAGAAGTGACAGGACAAAGGAAAGCACTGTTAGTCTGTAGGGGTGGCAAATGGGGTTGAGTGCAAATAAATGATAGATAAACGCTAGTTAGAAAAGCTTCTTCATGTAGATTCCTCTTATACCATCTCCAGATGGTTGAGTTCAGTGGTTCATCTTCTTTCTCCCTGGTAGAAAGGAAGGCGGGATACCTTTGTCCTCGTAAGCCTATGTCCTGCTTTTAGGTGAATATGGGGAGCATAGGGAGCTTTGCTACATGAGCTTCTTTTTAATGGCCTTTAGCTCAACAATCTTTCATATTTTGGGGTGTCATATTCCACTCTCCCACATTGCTAATAATTATTTTAAAGTAGTTGTCCTACAATTTGCTATTCAGGCACATTCTTTTTTTTTCTTTTCTTTTTTTTTTTCTTTTTTTTTTGAGACAGAATCTCTCTCTGTTGCCCAGGCTGGAGTGCAGTGACATGATCTCAGCTTGCTGCAACCTCTGCTTCCTGGGTTCAAGTGATTCTCCTGCCTCAGCCTCCTGAGTAGCTGGGACTATAGGTGTGTGCCACCATGCCGGGCTAATTTTTTTGGTATTTTTAGTAAAGACGGGGTTTCACCGTGTTAGCCAGGATGGTCTCGATCTCCTGACCTCATGGTCTGCCCACCTTGGCCTCCCAAAGTGCTGGGATTACAGGCATGAGCCACTGCACCCAGCCTCAGACACATTCTTGAGAATGAAACTAGTCAGTCATAGATTATGAAATACTTTAAATCCAATGAAAGTCAGATTTATTTCATTAAAGAAGAACTATTGAAAGGAGCAGATATTGAAAATGGAACAATGTGATGTTATTTCACTTTGTGAGCAACCCAGAATAAACATATAAGATGTAAGTAGTGATACACAGGCCAATCAATGATTACTGAGGCACTTAGATTAATAGTATAATTTATGTAGTAGTAACTTTACTCTCTTCAATTAATAGCATACATATCTAAGAAGTATGACATTTGTGCTAGGTCAGGCAAAAGTGCTGGTCATTTCAATGTCTTGTACAATAATAAACATACCTTAGAAATTGGTATGTATAAATTTCCCATCCTGAGTCACATTTTAGTAGTGGCTGACCAAATGACTTAAGATCAAAAGGTACTGTCTTTGAACTAAGTACTGCACAAGTGGTTTCAGTGTGTGAGACTTTCCCCTGCCAGGACCCATTTTACTGTCAGAGTTGGCTCAGAGTTTTGGCTGAGGTTGGGCGTAATAGGTGCTAAGTACCTTTATATTAAGTGCTTGGCTATCTTTGCCAGATTTGCAGAAGGCTTGCTTCACAAGCTGTTCTGCTTGAATTGGCCCACCCACCTAACTTCCCATAGAAAACCGAAGTTGTGTGTCTCTTTCTGTAATGAGGGAGAGGTGGAACTGTTTCCTCCCCATTTTAAGGCAAGTGACAAGAAGGCTAGAGAGAAACAAATTTGATAGCTTGACCTATGCCCATAGTGTCTGAGTGGTGCAGAGACTGATGTCAGACATACAAATCCATTGTAATAGTTGGTCTCCCATGGTGCAGTAGTCACTCCCCCATTAGAGTAGGCAGATAGTTAGACATGAACAGGAAAGGAAGCCCATGGGGGAGGAAGCTCTGGAAAATCTCAAGCCCCAGAGACCACCTGAAACCTGCATACTAAGTATGAGCAGAGATGAGGGGAGATATCTACAAAGAGAGAAACACCCTGAAACACCCCTTAGGATGTCCAGTCAATGCTCATTCTGCAGATAAAATTGTCAGAATCTAGCTAGCTACATGTTGATAAGAAGGGCAAAAGGGCAAAAGGGCAAAAGAGAAATTAATGAGATACGTGGGCGCAGTAAGTACAGACCTGACCACTATACGACCTTCCTGGGGTGGTGGTAATGAGCAATACCACCAGTAGGTAGGATTAGTGTTGATCCCGTGGTCCCACACATGTGCATCAGCTGACAGTAAGGGAGAATCCCACAAACCTGAGCAGGGAATTAGGCGGGGTCAAAGGCGGAGACTTAATACAGAAGCAGGAAACTAGACAAAGACTTAAGACAGAGACTTAAGACAGAGGCAGGAACTTAAGGGAAAAGTCTGACCTCATGAAAACCGCAACACAGAACTCTCAGGGTTGTTCCTGGGAAGGTTAGCCCACTTCTCTCTTGGAGTGTACTTTTTTTTCCTTAATACACCTTTTTGCTTACTTTACTAATTGGTCTCTTGATTGAATTCTTCCCTTCAAGAAGGTAAGAATCAAAGATCCCCACACTTTCCAGTAATACCCCTACATTTGCAATAATGTTTTTGAATGAAGTCTTTCTTCACTAAGTCTGGATCTCTTTTTTATTTGCCAGGACTTGAAATAGCTGTATAAGATGGGGAGCAGTTCAGTGCATGTCTGGAAAGACAGGAGCTGATTGCAATTCTGAAGGTCAGTTGGTAGAGACATGCCCTGAATGAATCAAGAGAACTGTAGACAAGTGAACCCAGTTGAGTGAGGGAAGAGGAAGGAAGAAATATCTCTAAAGAACCACAAATGTAACCACCCAATGAGTTCATTTAACTTGCTGCCCAGATAGAGCCAATTTATCATGACAGAGTAATTGCAATAGAGAAAGAGTTTAATTCTTGCAGAGCCAGGTGAATGGGAGACTGGAGTTTTATTATTACTCAACTCAGTCTCCCCCAAAGTTGAAAATTTGGAGACTGGAGTTTTTTGAGGATAATTTGTGGGGGCAGGGGGACCAAGGAGTGGGGAGTGCTGATTGGTCAGGTCAGAGATGATCTTAGGAAATTAAGCCTGTCCTCTTGTGTTGAGTTGGTTCCTGGGTGAGGGCTGTAAGACCAGATGAGCTAGTTTATCTATCTAGGTGGTGCCAGCTGATCCATCAGGTGCAGGGTCTCAAAAATATCTTAAGCACCAATCTTATTTTTACAATAGTGATGTTATCCCTAGGAGCAACTGGGGAGATTTAGAAACTTGTGGCCTCTGGCTGCATGACTTTTAAACCATAACGTCTAATCTTGTGGCTAGTTTGTTATTCCTACAAAGGCAGTCTGGTCCCCAGACAAGTAGGGGATTTATTTAGGGAAAGGGCCATTATCATCTTTGCTTCAAAATTAAACTTTAAACTAAGTTCCTCTCAAAGATAGTTTGGCCTATGCCCAGGAATGAACAAGGACGTCTTGGAGGTTAGAAGCAAGATGAAGGCAGTTCGGTCAGATCTCTTTCATGGTCATAATTTTCTCATTGTCATAATTTTTGCAAAGGCAGTTTTACAAAGGTACCTCATGAGAAAAAAATCAGCACTGGAGATCTGCTACATTGAGCTCACTAATGGCAGGTGACAACTTTATCTCTGGCAAGACCTTTCTGTCAATAATAATAATAATAATTATTTTTTCTTATACTAGTATGTCTCAAGACAGTAGCTAGAAAATGTGGGTTGACATGGAGGGAGGAAATGACCCAGAAACTGACCACAATCCTGCCCTCCAAACCTGAAGCTCGGAGTGCTAGAGGAGTAGAGAGACATTTTACATTGGATAATGGTTCTGAGTTTTGATATTACCATGGACTGGCTTTTTTTTTTTTTTAAGTCTAGAAGTGATTCGATAATTTTTTACTATCTGATAATGCCTGGAGTCAGGAGTGGGAACATTTATGTCCACTGAATGGTTTTGATGAGACAGCATTGGAAAAGAATAATGTCTTCTTTCTTAACAAATGCCTAAGTTTACATACAGGAATTCCCTAGTACCACACATTGTCAACTATGTTTTTTTGTGGTTAAAATGAGAAAAAAAGAAAAGTGAATGATCTGGTTTGGCTGTGTCCCCACCCAAATCTCATCTTGAATTGTAGCTGCCCTAATTCCCACGTGCCATGAGAGGGACCTGATGGGAAGTAATTGAGTCATGGGGGCAGGTCTTTCCTGTGCTGTTCTCATGATAGTGAATAAGTATTACAAGATCTGATGGTTTTATAAAGGGGAGTTCCCCTGCACACTCTGTCTTGCCTGTCACAATGTAAAATGTGACTTTGCTCTTCCTTCATATTCCACCATGATTGTGAAGGCATCCCCAGCCATGTGGAACTGGGACTCCATTAAACCTCTTTCCTTTGTGAGTTACCCAGCCTTGGGTATGTCTTTATTAGCAGCATGAGAACAGACTAATACAATGAATATATTACAGATGATGAAAATAAAGCTTTCCCCCATTGATCAGATATGTATTGATGGTCTATTTTGTGTTAGGCACTGGGAATACACAGCCATGTTTTCCTGGACTTCATGGGAGATGACTGTGATGATTAATTGTATGTATCAACTTGTACTGGAACAAGTGGTGCAAACATTATTCTATGTCTGTGAAGGTGTTCCTGGGTGAGATGTACTTTTGACTTGGTTGGCTGCGTAAAGCAGATTGCTCTCTCTATGTGCGTAGGCATCATCCAACCAAGTGATGTATTAGTCAGGGTTCTCTTAGAGGGACAGAACTAATAGGATATATATATATCCTTTATATATATATTTATATATATAAAGGTGAGTTTATTAGGTATTAACTTGCATGATCACAAGGTCCTACAATAAGCCATCTGTCTGCTGAGGAGTAAGGACAGCCAGTCCGAGTCCCAAAACGGAAGAACCTGGAGTCTGATGTTGGAGGGCAGGAGGTATCCAGCATGGGAGAAAGATGTAGGCTGGGAGACTAAGCCCACCTCTCCTTTTCATGTTTTTCTGCCTGCTTTATATTCGCTGGAAGCTAATTAGATTGTACCCACCAGATTAAGGGTGAATCTGCCTTCCCCAGCTCACTGACTCAAATGTTAATCTCTTTTGGCGACACCCTCACAGACACATCCAGGATTAATACTTTGTATCCCCTGATCCAATCAAGATGACACTCAGTAATAACCATCACAAGTGAAGACCTGCATAAAACAAAAAAGTTAAGACAACCACTATTGATGCCTGAATGCTTGAGCTAGGAGCTAGGATATCTTTTTATTTTTTATTTATTTATTTATTTTTTTACTTCCTGACTTTAAAGTTGGACTCAAACTGAAACAGTGACCCCTTTTGGGTCTTGAGCCTGCCATCCTGGAACTTACACCATCAGCTCTCCTGGGTCTACTGATTGTGCATCTTGGGATTTTCCAGCCTCCATAATTGTGTGAGTAAACTCTTTATAATACTCTTTACAAATATACACAAATATATGCACCTATGTACACATGTCCTATTGGTTCTATTTCTCTGGAGAATCCTAACTAATAAAATGTCACTATCGTAGAAAAATCACACAAATAAATGTGGGTGGTAGGTACTATGAGAGCACATAATAAGCAGATTTAACCTAGTCAAGGAAAGCGAGAGTAAAGAAATATTGTGCTGCTTTCAGACTGAAAAATGGATTAAGAGGAGGCAAAAGCAGAAGCAGAAAGTTAAAAGTTACTGCATTAGTACAAATGAGATGATTATTACATGAACAAAGGGAGTTACGGGTTTGGAAGAAGATGGGTTACACATGTAACTGGGTAGATGGATGGTGGTCCCTTTTGCTGAGAAAGGAGACAACTGGCTTATCAGGGATAATATCATGATCTTCGTTTGGTTGAGTTTAAGTTCTTTTGCCATTTCTAGGTAAAACGTTAAATATGCAGTTGATTAGATGCGAATAAAATATATAAGGGTGTAGCATGCTCTTTTGTTCTAATAACACCAATTAATGGGAAAGATAGTTGATTTTCTCACTGAACAGGCTTAGTTACGAAAAAGGAAAAGCAAGAATGAGGGAAGGTTAAAATTATAATAATATATAATAGTTGCTGAGTGCTTTACGTATTAGGTAAGCCCTAAATGTCTTACATACTAAATTAGTGAATATGTTACACATCACACTTTGAGGTAGAAATACTATTATCCCCATTTGGTAGACTGACTTTAAGATAGATGATCCTCAATGATCCCCATCTTCTGGTATTTGTGCTCTTGTGTCATCCTCTCTCACAGTGAGGAGAGCTGACTTGTGTAACCAATAGGATACTGCAGAAGTGATTGAGTGTCCTGACTTCTGAGGCCAGATCATAAGAAACATTGTGGTTTCCATCTTGTTCTTTTGAATTACTTGCTCTGGAAGAAGCCAGTCACCATTTTGTGAGAAAACTCAAGCAGCTCATGGAATAGCTCGTGTGGATAGAAACTCACCACATGAGTGAGATATTCACCACATGAGTTTTCACCACATAAAAGTTTGAAAAATTTGCAGCCTGACAATGTAGTAGAAAAGAAAACCCCATTTTCTGGGAAGAAATTCAAGCTGATAGCAGCCACCATGGAAACCCTGGCCCTAGACAAGGCTTTAAATGCCTGAAGCCCAGCCCACATTTTGACTGCAACCTCAGAAGAGAATCCAAATCAGAACTACCCAGATAAGACTCTTCTGAATTCATGACCCAAAGAAACTGTGGGACAATACATATATATTGTTTTTGACCACGTTTTGGGGTGATTTGTTATGCAGTAGTAGACAATACATTTCATTTTATAGATAAAGAAAATAAGTCCCAGAGAGGTTAATTAACTTGCCCAGTATCATACAGCTAAAAGTGGCAAAACCAGGATTTGAACTCACATTGTCTGGTTTGGCTCCCCTCCTGAACCATCACACCCTATGCCTCTGACGCTTAAAGAGAGTGAGGCAAGATGTTCAGCATGAGGAATGAAGAGGATTTCTAAGTGGCCAATAGGTACATAAGTATGCTCACCTGCAGAATTTTATTTTATTATTTTGTTTTCCAGAATTTTATATAGAGTTTATTCTTTAGAGCAGTTTTAGGCTCATAGCAAAATTGGGCAGAATTTCCATATTATTTTTAGTCATCAAGTCTTTGTATATACTTGAATTTACACAGAAGCTGATAATAATTTTTTTTTTTTTTTTTTAGACAGAATTTCACTCTTGTCACCCAGGCTGGAGTGCAGTGGTGGGATCTCGGCTCACTGCAACCTCTGCCTCCTGGATTCAAGTGATTCTCCTGCCCCAGCCTCCCAAGTAGCTGGGATTACAGGTGCTTGCCACCACGGCCAGCTAATTTTTATATTTTTAGTAGAGACGGGGTTTCAGCTTCACAGCAAAGGGGATGTTTTCTCTTTGCCCCTACATTCTAATCTATCTCCTTGGTTTTCTCTTTACTTCTGACATCAAAATAATCATCTTTCCATGTCCATATTTTGTAGGGAAGAAGTGACCCACCAATTACATGAGAAAGGGGAACTAAACCAGTTTTTACTGCTGTCTCATCCCTAAACTTTATGCCTCACAATCATGGAGGAAGATGAAGGAGGAATGAGGCATGTCTTACATGGTGGCAGGCAAGAGAGTTTTAGAGTAGAATTAACTTTTAATTTTTTGTTAATAATTGTCACAACAATCAATGCTAAGTCAGCCACCTATGCACCTCCTTCTTCTCTCTTCATTATCCCTGCATTGTCATTATGAAAAAGTTGACTTCAGATAAGACCCAGACACAGAATAGGCTGTGCACCAACTTAAGAAAAGTACTTGGCAAAAGACAAGTCTTCATTTCCTAAGGGAATAAGTAAATACCTATTGGAAGATTATATTTTATTGGCATATAGTATATAGTTCATTCTAATGGCAAATTAACATCTATCAAAAATGGCCAATGAGCAATTTTTGACCAGTACCTTCTGGAATAGTCTTCTAGAAGATTCCTCTTTAAAAATGTTGCTGCATCTGCATAAACTCAGGAAAAATCTGGCAACCCCAGGATTTAACTCGAAAAGATAAAACAGCAAAGAGAGACCTGGGGAGCTATTTAGGAAACATTAGTGTGATTCAGATTTCCTTCTGTCATTAGCTATTTGCAGATTCAATTTTGTGTGAAAACAATTTTAGGGTTGGGGCAGGGGGGATCTTGGAGGAAACAACTGTAGTCCAATTAGTTAACTTTTCAAAGGACTACCTCACTGGGTTTCAGACAGGTTATCTCTGTAAAGATACTGTCTCTCAACTGAGTTGCTGATAAATATTGAGTGGCAGCCAGATAAATCCCTTGATTCCTGACAAATGGCTGGAATATAAAATATTTAGTCTTTATTGCTGGCTGATGCAGAGCAATAGGTTTAAATTTTAGGCAGGCCAAGGATAGGCCACCAAGTTTGTAGATGCTGAGGAACCAGACAAGGATAGATCTGAATAGAAGATTCTCAGCTTGTCCCAGGGTGTTTCTGAGAGCAAGGCTAAGATACCTTCAAACATTTTACTTCTGCTCTGTCATACCAACAAGTAACACGAGTCTCAAATTTCAAAGCCATGCTTGAATATGCAAAAATGTTTACCCTCCAAATTTTAAAGCAGATGTAATATGAAACAGGGACGTTTTCTGTGAGATGAAATCAATTCCCTTTATGTTTTCTAGAACTTCATGCTTCTTAGTTAGTATACACTTTGGTTATTGTTATTTTGAAAGAAGAGATGAGGATTCATACAGTAAAATTAATAAATAGAAAGCAGGTTTAAATTACAGTTAATCTTCAGAAATACTAGTATCAAACATTTTAATGTTAATACTACCGATTTAATCTCAACAAAAAGAGTCAAACTCTGTAAAATATTTGAAGAGATTTATTCTGAGCCACATACAAGTGACCAATGGCCTGTAACATAGTCTTCAGGAGATCCTGAGAACATGCGCCCAAGGCAGTTGAGCTACAACTTGGTTTTATACATTTTAGGGAGACATAACACATCAATCAATATATGTAAGATGTACATTGGTTCAGTCCAGAAAGCTGGGACAACTGAAAGTTGGGAGATTTTCCAGGTCATAGGCATATTCAAAGATTTTTCTTCTGGGTGCAATGACTGATACCTGTAATCCCAGCACTTTGGGAGACCAAGACAGGCAGATCACATGAGGCCAGGAGTTCAAGACCAGCCTGGCCAACATGGCGAAACCCCATCTCTAATAAAAATACAAAAATTAGCCAAGTGTGGTGGTGCACACCTGTAATCCTAGCTGCTTGGGTAGCTGAGGCAGGAGAATCATTTGAATGCAGGAGGCAGAGGTTGTAGTGAGCCAAGATTTTTTTTATGGCTGCATAGTATCCCTGGTGTATATGTGGC